CTCACAGCTCCTGGCTAGTTTGAGAGTTGTTGTACAGGTCATAAATTCCTAGAGACTGAGGGAGAATAACTGAATTATCCATCTATTAATCAGAAGGGAAAAGGGAGCCCTGGTAATTAAGTAGCTGTCACATGCACTTCAATACCCCGAAAGAGTAGTGCAAACCATCAAACAATCAATTTGTAATCACACAGAACTGAGAACAGAGCTCTGAGAACAGAAGGACTGAGGCGCCTTTCAGAGAACAATTTTGTTTCATGATAAAGAGACAGGAGGGGGAGATAAGAGGGACTTCAAGAGATAGAGACTGAATGGAATTCAGCAACATATTTTCATCTTAAACCAGAAATTCTGTGAGCTGTTGACCTCACTATTGCAGTGTAGTGTATGGTATCCATGCAGTCCTTAAAATCATTTGAATTAAAATAGATTTTGCTTCACAAATTAAACACTCTTCGTATCCTACAGATAGCTGAGATATTTCCATCTATAGTCACAAAGGATTCCACTTCTTTTGATGAGCGCAAACCTGATTTCGCTCCATTTTATACGACTGTCATAATATTGAAACAATCAGTATGGCTCTCCTATTTTTTGAGACAGCACGTCTGTGCACATAAATAATCTTATCAATCATCTCCTAAAAAATGCCTTCAGGAGAAGAAGTCTTGCCAAAATAGTCACTTTGCTCTTATAATGAATGATAGACTCAGTCTTGGCCACCAATTTATCCTATTGATGTGTTTGGCATAATTTCTCTAGAATGAATCTGATGAATTTTATAATCCACCATAAGAAAGAAAAAACCGCTATCATCCCTAAATGCGGTATACATTTACTTGATAATTCATTTCTTCAAAATTCAATGGCATTATTTATCTCCATCAAGTGCACATCTCCAAAATGAGTATTTTATTTGAGGATCTTAGTGTTTTCACACGGTGATCACTATTATACTTCCTTTTGTCTTAAGGAGAAAGTACCTAATAATTCAAGATTGCAACATTCATCAGGATTTAACTTTATACTGAAGACTTTTTAGATAAATTCACTAGTTCAGTATTTAGCCATATCCATTAATGCTTTGACAAAACTGTATCACAAAATTACTATGAAAAGCCAAATTAGTTAGAAATTGAATGTAAAAATAGCACTTTCACTTTAAAAAATAATTATAAAAAGAGAAAACAATAACAGCCTATAATTCTAACATCACTATAACATATTTTCTCATTAAACATAAATAAATACAAGGCAAATAAAAAATAAGCTCCCGAGTACTTTTTAAGTATATTTCATGTAACTGTCCAGAAATATTCAATGCAGAACCAATATTGCTATTTTTTATTCAGATCTTCTGCTAAAATATGTAATATCCTAGTTTTAACTACCTTAATTTAATAATTTTTTGAAATCGTTCCACATTAGCAGATATAAATATGCATAATTCTTGACTAACACATAGTATTCCATGGTGAAGATATCATAATTAGTCAACTAGATACGAAGATACTAGATTTTAGCATTGACTTTGTATTGAAGACAAAATAATCCTGTTGAATATTTATATCAAGAATTGGCTGAGCCACAAATAAAAATATAATTTAAATGATATATTTTTTTTTAAAAAATTCAAATACGCATGAGAGTTTTCTCAAAATCAAACAGAAAAGAGATGCCACCCAGTCAGCTTATTTTGGAGCACTAAGGTGTAAAGTTTTAGGAGAATTAAATGAGATAATGCTTATAAAACCTTGTCTGCTAGAAAATAATCAGGGCTTAAGAATATTTGGAAACAGCCTGGAGATGGTGGTAGAGAGCCACTGTGGGAGGCTTGCCTGATGCCAGGGGAGCCAAGAAGAGTGGAAGTAGATTGGGGACCTATGAGATTGGGATGGACCAGAGGAAATATTCTCAAGGAGAGGAAAATGGCAGTTATGGTCATGAGGTAGAAGGGGTGTTTGAGAAAAGATTAAAGCAAAGTGCAAACTGTTCTCAGGAGAGTGAAGTGGAACAGTGCACTTGGAAGTAGCTGACAGACAAGAGGCTGGGTGATGCAGGGAAGGGGAGAATGAGCTGGAAACAAATGAGAGTAATGGGAATCACTTCCTTTATCAGAAATGTAGACACTTTCTATAGAGAATTTTTGCTAAATATGAGCTTTTTTTAAAATTCTTAAGCCATGAATGAAGTCTTAAGAAATATACAATATAGAAGAAAATACATTCTTTGAGTTGAAAATACTATCCCTCTAAAAAGTTTTTCCAAATCACTGATTTCCCCAACAGTATTTCTTATTATACAAACCCCAGCCCAAACACTGGAGAAGAGTGGAACAAACTGAAACTAAGTTTCTTGTGGCTCTAGAATGACATGATATAATGTAATGTAATATATTATATATACTTATATAATATACTAAATCTTTCATTAATCCCCATGGGATTCTCATTACTCTTTGTAGAAAAATTGTTAATACACACAAAAAACCTCCCTTCCAGTTTGCACAAGGTAAAAAGAGATAGCACAAGTCAAAGTATAATTTAATTACTAGACTTAAGTGATAGAACTTTCACTGGCATGAAGACTGTAAGAACTCAAAGTTCTACATACTGTAAGTGCTCTCAGTAAAGGCAAGAAATACAAATTTTAAAAAATACATTCTCAAGAAAAAATGTTCCACATCACTCATCATCAGGGAAATACAAATCAAAACCACAACGAGATACCACCTTACACCTGTCAGGAGAATTATTTTAACATTTACAACTCAGTAAACAGATCGAGGGGATGCAGAAGAAGAAGATCTTGCATTGTTGGTGGGAATGCAACCTGGAGCAGCCACTCTGGAAAAGCAAATGGGAGATTCCTCCAAAAAAACTAAAAATGGGAACTACCTATGACCCAGCAATTTGTTTCTTTAGGCATTTATCCAAGGGATACAGGTGTGCTTTCAAAGAGACACATGCACCCCATGTTTATAGCAGCACTATCAGCAATAGCAAGAAGGAAATGGAAAGAGCCCAAATGTCCATCGATGGATGAATGGATAAAGAGGATGTGGTGTGTGTGTGTGTATATATATATATATATATATATATACACACACACACATATATATATATATACACATATATACACACAATGGAGTATTACTCGGCAATCAAAAAGAATGAAATCTTGCCATATGCAACTACGTGGATGGAACTGGAGGGTATTATGCTAAGTGAAATTAGTCAGAGAAATACAAAAATCATATGACTTCCTCATATGAGGACTTTAAGAGACAAAACAGATGAACATAAGGGAAGGGAAATAAAAATAATACAAAAACAGGGAGGGAGACAAAACAGAAGAGACTCATAAACATGGAGAACAAACTGAGGGTTGCTAGAGGGGTTGTGGGAGGGGGGATGGGCTAAATGGGTAAGGGGAATTAAGGCATCTACTCCTGAAATCATTGTTTCACTATATGCTAATTAATTTGGATGTAAATTTTAAAAAATAAAATATAAAATTTAAAAAAATACATTCTAACATCCAAAGAACATAATTAAAGAAAGAACACTATCCATGTCAAATAATTTATTCAAATTTAATTATACCCCCAAAAACAATTGGCTAAATTACATTCCTCCCTTCAATAATTTTTTTTCTGTGCAATCTAAGAATCTCTATGAGATATTCAGATATAAACTACAAAATAATCATTTAATGTATAAGGAATACAAGCGTTATAATAAATATGATCACACAGAAATATGTAAACAGTTTCCACTATTTAAATTTATTTAATTACAGTATGTATGTGTTATGGTTAAGCTTAATTTGCTAATAATATTTTAAATTAAAAAAATTTTTAAGGTTATTTATTTATTTTGAGAGAGAAAAACAGTGCAAGTTGGGGAGGGGCAGAGAAAGAGGGAGAGAGACAGAATCCCAAGCAGTTTCCGCAGGGTTAGCACAGACACCGACAGGGCTCAAACTCACAAATCGTGAGATCATGACCTGAGCCAAAGTCAGACACTTAACTGGCTGAGCCACCCAGGTGCCCCGCTAATAATATTTTAAATGAACTTACCACTCTTGTGGTAACTAAACCACCTATTTTCATGTGGAGTAGGCATGTTTGTAAATCACAAAGCGTAACACCCTATCTTTCTTTTTGCAGATTGTTGAAAATAAAATACACTAAAACATTCAATTCCAAATGCAACCCAAGCCTAGTTTCTAAAACAATCACCAGTGCTGGAAAATCAAAGGACCAATTCCCAGCCAGTTATACTGACTACTGTTATATACTACAAAGGGAGATTTTTCTTTTTCTTTTTTAAGCCCGGGAGATTACTTCAGAGTACAGTCATTTATAGAAAGCAAAGGAAAAGAAAATGTCAAAGAAATTCTAGACAATGTGAAAAAAAAGGCAAAAAAAATTTCCCCCCTGAGTTTCCCCCACCCTGACAACACACAAATAAACAGTGCCTCCAACAGACACATATGGAAGTACCCCATTCTTACACACACACACACACACACACACACACACACACACACACACGAGACACTTGTAGGATGGACATATGAATGTTGCTGAGGTATAGTATTTAATACATTAAATTCATGTTTCAATGAATCTTTGTGTAGGCATTCACATTTTACTGAATTTCTTCACTTTGTAAAACTAATAAAATTAAATGAAAAAAAAATAGGATACTTGACAAACAAGACATATTGGATAGAAGGTAAATAATACTTAATTGTTGGTAAGCCCAAGTAAAGCAGAAAGGAAGAAAGAATGGTCAAACACCAGAGAAGGCTATCACATTTCTAAAACATCAAAAAGGATCAAATTTATTTCTAACAAACTAAAGAGATAAAACTGTCGTATACTCTAACCTCTGTGGCAACGTTAAAACTGAAGTAGTCCATTCAAGACCTGGGAAAAGAAAGCAAGGATGAAAGAGGCCATTATGCTTTCACAACCATTGCGTATCAAATACCTTTTTACTATATGCTCCCCGTCCCAGCATGGTAGTCCATCGGCAGCAGCTAATTCATTAACGCAGAGCTCATCAGCCAGGCCTCCATAGAACGTCCTGTACAGTCTAAGGCTGTTGATAAATTCCCTGAATGGGAAAATAACAAAAACGATCAAAACCAAAAACCCATAACAAATGCCAGTATAAATGGCATAATTTGTTGTGTGTGAAATTTAGAATGTAACTTTTTTTAAATGTTCACTGCTTATTTGTTGTATATTCGCAATACTTTTCTAACAATCAAGATAAATACTATACTTTTTTAAAAAAGGATGTATTAAAATTTCCTCTTTTGAATCAAAGTTTTCACAGGGGATGAGTGTTATATAACTCTAGTCCAAGAGTTGTGAAGGGTATACACACACACACACACACACACACACACACACACGTCCCACTTTATATAGTATCCCTAAAAGCTCTTACTCGCTGTGGCATCTGAACCACAGTGACACTAACTACTTTCTTACCCATATAGAAATGTCAGAGGCTCTTAACAAGTTAATTGATTGCTTATTAAATAAAAGTTTATTAAACTTGGGTGATTTTCCTATCTGGGTCTTCTCTTTGGTGTATAAAAACATAAAATAATATATCTTTACTAAGATGAAGAAACAGATATTTAATATATTGCAAAAGCATGAAAATAAAAGTTGTTGGAAGATATAGTATTTAATACATTAAGTTTTTTTCCTCTCACAGGAAGTACATCTCTTTCCCCCATCAATTATGGGAAGGGAAAATTCAACAAAAAAGTAGCTTGCTTTTTAACTTAAAAATTTCCAACTTTTAAAATCAAAGCTTTGATGTCCCAGGAACCTGAGTTTTAGCATTTCAAAAAACTAAGTCCTAAAAACTACCTTTTTGAACTGTTTTACATAAACCATTGCTTTGGTGACAACGAAATGAAAAGCCACTAGCTTAATAAAGAGGAGATGTCCCCTGGGCTAGAAGACAGGGGCAGAAGAAAAGCAAACAGAAATCTATAGGTTGAATAATTAAAACGTAGTGATTATGAAATTGCACCCCCCACTGATATTTTTAAAATAATTTCTTTAAAAATGAGATCAAAGAGGAGGGGTTGCTCTAAATTACAGCTGAAATGACCAAATTTTTAAAAATCAAATCTGATTTTGACAGCACTGATGCTCAGCTATATTTCTTTAATGCTTATGTATTTATTGTGAGAGAGAGCATGGGCATGAGAGAGTGAACGTGTGAGCTGGGGAGGGGCAAAGAGAGAAGTAGAGAAAGAATCCCAAACAGGCTCTGCACAACACAGGGCTAGAGAACTCAGGAACTGTGAGATCATAACCTGAGGCGAAATCAAGAGTTGTATGGTTAGGGGCGCCTGGGTGGCGCAGTCGGTTAAGCGTCCGACTTCAGCCACCATCTCGCGGTCCGTGGGTTCGAGCCCCGCGTCAGGCTCTGGGCTGATGGCTCAGAGCCTGGAGCCTGTTTCCGATTCTGTGTCTCCCTCTCTCTCTGCCCCTCCCCCGTTCATGCTCTGTCTCTCTCTGTCCCAAAAATAAAAATAAACGTTGAAAAAAAAAATTAAAAAAAAAAAAAAGAGTTGGACGGTTAACTGACTGAGCCATCCAAGTGCCCTTGATGCTCAACTGTATTAATTTTATAATTCTCTTTCTTACTTGTTTTCAAAGAACTATTTGTGGAAGTGGCTGGAGTTTTAAGTAACTACTCATCCATACGTAGGATAAATGTCATTTTCAAATATGTAACATTCTGATTATCACAGAGATCAGAAGTTTCCACAGCAAGTGTTTGGTGAGTATTTAAACAAATTTTTAGCAAAGCTTCATCAGGAAAGTGATAACAAAATGACTGTAGGATGTATAAATCTGACTCACTTCCAATTTATGCTCAATCCAAAGGAAAAAAAAGTATGCTGTATTTTCAAACTAGCACAGTAACCACTTATTTATACTTATTGATGCTTTAAGTTGGTTTCCTCTCCTAGAAAATAAGTTCCCCCATGAGGGCCATATTCCTACTAACTGGATTGCATGAACAAATACCAAGTCTCATGTTGCTACTAAAACATAATTGATGAAGCCAACTGATTCTTTCCTAGAGTGGTGGGGTTTAATAAATAGAAAGGTGTGTGACTCCTGTCCTGAATTCTGTTCACTATAAATAAGCACCTGTTTGGAATCAAAGAGTCTTCTAGAAATGAAGAGGCCTGTCAAAACAGCTAGAATGTTGAGATCTCCAAATTGACGGTATAAAACTGAACAGATACTACTTATCAGCCCCAAACCTAGTCCTAATCTCAGTGAATGGTGCCTTCACAACCAATAGATCATCCTGGGAAAAGCTTTCATCTTTCTTTTCTAGTCCTCTTTCCCAATGCTACTCTCACAGCCTTAGCTGAAGCCCCTATCATCTCTCTGGAAAGACTGCACTAGAATGGCATACCTCTAATCTCCTCAACAATCACATCTCATCCTCTAAGAGCTACCTCTTCAAATTCAAATCTGATAACCCCCAGACTATGTCACTCACTTGCTTAAAGCCATCAATGGTTCTCTATTCTCTATAGCATCTTGGAAAGGCACATAAGGCACTCTCTCACCTCTATTTCGGCAGCAGGTCAGACCATACTTTAGGATTCCACAAAAGTGAGATACCTGCTGTTCCCCAAACACACCTTCATGCCTTTGCATGTGTTCCCTCTGAAAGCAACATATCATAGATTTCCACTCATTCTATAAACCAGCAGCTATCAGTTATTTGTCACAAACTACTGAACACTATTGAGTATCAAGCTCTGTGTTGGCACCATAGCTAAACAAGACAGTCCCTACCTGCTAAGAATGCACTTTCTGGTGAAAATGCACAGTAATAACACAGTGTTTATAGTGCACATGTGAAGACAGAGAAGGAATCGGGAAAAATGTACAAATAAGATAATACTTTCATCTCAGTGTTTCATGCAAAAAAAAAAAAAAAAGGAAGCAAACAACAACAACAACAAAAACAATAAGAAAGGTAAAGAGGAAAGAGAATACTGACACTCATCTGCAGTTAAGCTCGTGGGAAACGGGCTTATGGGAATTATGTAAAAAGGTAGGAAGAGGCCAGTTTGTAATCAGCCTTATTGATCATCAAAAAGTGTTTCCATTTTGTTCAGAAGGCAGAGGGAGCCATTAAATGTTTTCCAGCAAGCAAGTGATGGCATCATGACAGGATCGTGGAAATAGGTAGAAAGTCAGTGAGGTCACTCAGGGGCTATAACCAAGACTCAGGGGGAGAAAATATGAGGGTGTGGAAAAAACATCTGTCAGTGAGCATCATGGCAAGTGATAGAGTTGAAAGACATTAGGAATCTAGAATTGACAGTTAATGTAAAAGTTATAATTCCTAATTGTCTTTTTCAACACCTCCCCCCAAGTGACTGAGGGGATGATTATTATCTCAGTGTTATTCACTGCAATAAGAAGTAAAGGAAAGGTGATACAACTCTTTTCAATGTCCCACACTATACTTAGGATTGCTATTCTCCTGCTCAATATTTTTATCTCTCTATGGTGCATATCACTTTCTATTCTAGCACGTCATGTACTTATTTACTATGCTTTATTGTTTCTCATCTGTCTCCCACTCCAGAATAAAAGATTCAGGCAGGCAAGGATTTTTTTTGGTTTGTTTTGTTTACCAGTATAGATCTTAAAACAATTGTGAAGGCATATAGTAATGTCAACAATGAGTAATTAAATTAATGAACAGGTTAAAACTAATTAATTAATAATTAATTCTATTCCCAACATGTTCGGTTTGCAATTTCTTTGGAACATATGGAAAGAGAAATCAAGTAGAATGCTACTTTCAGACTTACTATGTGTAACATCATCTGGGGATCTTGCCAAAATGCAGGTTCAGTTAAGTAGTTCTGAGGTGCAGCCCAAGATTCTACATTTCAAAGAAGCACTCAGATGATGCTAAGGCTACTGGTACAAGAACCATGAATACCATGGATGTTTGCTGTTGGATATGTAACCTTGGAACCAGGGGATTGGACATGTGACATGAGAGTCATTATCTACAGAGGTGATGACCAAAGTCATGAATGTGGATGAAATCTCTCGGGTGAATAGCACATAGTAAGAAAAAGTCAAATGAACTCAGAAGTAGAAAGAGCAAAGGAAGAAAATCGTCAATGATAAGAGCTTTGAACATTAAAGAATAAATAAATTTGAACCTAGAGAGATTCTCCACAGGGTCAAATGCTATTATGAGAGGTTACTTAAAATAATGAAAATGTCCTCTATATGTGGTCACTCAAAAATTCTATGTTGAGACAAGGCCTTTAAAAGGCAAAAAGGCTCAAATGGGTCGTACACATAGGTTCTAATCCAATATGACCAGTGTCCTAATAACAAGAAGAGATGCTAGGGGTGCATATGAGCAGAGGAGAGGCCATGTGAGGACACAGGGAGAAGGTGGCCATCTGCAAGAGAGAAAAACCTCAGGAGAACCTAAACCTACCAATGTCTTGCCCTTGGACTTCTAGCTTCCAGAACTGATGTCCGTTGTTTAAGCCACCTGGTCTGTGGCATTTTGTTATGGCAGCCCTAGCAAGCTAATACAGTAATTAAAGCATCTGAAACAGAGTAATGGACTTCAGATTTGCAGTATGAGGAGTATTAAAGAGAGAGTGAGAAACTAAAAGTCCCAAAGACGAACATGAAGAGGGTTTTGGTTGAGCATATGTTTGTCTGTCTGAATATGCAGGAGAGTTGAAAATATTTGTGTATGAAAGGGAAGGAGATAACAAGGGTTTGTAGTCATTAGCTTGTTCCCAAATATCCCAATTCTCAACATTCCAGGCTTAAAGTCACTCTGAAGCTTTAGTATGTGACCTTAGTATGTGACTAGCTCTGGGTTCTAGTAAATGTAGGCAGAAGTGATGTATATTTCTTCTAAGCTTAAGCTTTAAGAACCAATGTGGTTTGGCCAGCTTCTGTTTCCCTCTTCCCAAAGACTGGCAATGTTTCACAGAGAGGCTGCTTCGTCATTCTGAGGCATAAAGCAGGTAATCTTGAGCAGTGTCTCTGCTGGTCTAAGAT